CTTGTTGGGCTTTACCTAGGAGAGTTATCTAGAACAAGTTGGGTCCCACCTGAAGAGTTATCTGAAACTTGTTGAGCCTTGCCTAGGGATGCTATCCAGAACTTTTTGGGCCCTACCTAGGGACATTCCCTAGAACATTTTGGACACTACTTGGGTTGCTTCCTATAAGTTGTTTTGAACTCTACTTAGGAATGTTATCTAGAACTTTCTGGATCCAATCTTGGGATGGCTCTTATCACTTTGCGAGAACTACCTAGGCATGCTCCCTAAAACCTTTTCGAGCCTATCTGGGATGGTCTCCATAACCTTTCGGGCCCTAGCGCGGGATGGTATTATACCACCTCTATGTTGGGCTTAAAAAGTTATAGCTATCACCCCATGTAGAGTCCGCAAAGTTCTAGATAGCATCCCTTATTAAGCCCTAAAATGTTCTAGATAACATCCCTAGGTAGGGCCTAACAAGTTCTAGATGGCATCCCTGGGTAGGGCCCAAAAAGTTCCAGATGATACCTCAGGTAGAGCCCAACATGTTCCAGATAATACCCCCAAGTAGGGCCCAAACGTTCTAGATAACACCCTCAGGTAGGGCCGAACATGTTGTAGATAACACCCCCATGTGGGATGCAAAAAGTTCTAGATAGAATCCCTAGACTGGACCCATTAATTGCAATTGCTGCGAATTTCCCAATGTCTCTGAAATCTCTCAAAATCTTTTGAAATCTTTTGAAATCTTTTGAAATCTTGAAATCTGCTCTTTTTCCCCTTGCGTTTAATCGGTCACTCGGTCCGACCGATTGTCGTTTCGGACCGATGAATCGTTGACGGTAAATCGGTGGTTGATCGTCACCGTTGTATCCCTACTGTATGTTTATTGCTCAACGTACCAGTGTGATTTCATTTTTATTCATTGTATTGTACACGCATCGAGTAGCAAATGTATCGCCCTTAAAAAAACCTTAGAATAGATAGATTGAATTTTGTTTTCTTACTGGATAGAGTTTGATTGATTTCGGTAGACGATTTTCAAATTGAAAGTTGAAATCATACGATTCCGCATTGAACAAATATTGAACAGCCTTATTATTACGAATCAATTTAGTCCACAAACTTTTACCTACGTAAGATAAAGTGATTCAAGTAATATAGAAAGAACTGTTTACCTTGTAAATGAGTGTGTGGAAATGCGGAAAGGAGTGTAATGCCTGATTCAGGAAAATTCTAGAGATAATAACAGAAGAAATATAATCTCATCTGTAAAATGAGATTTCCATACATATCCGACTGGCATTGGCAGGGCAATAAGAATCGACTACGAATCGATCGACACCAGGCGGAATGGCAAGAGCCAAAGGACCTGAATCTATACCGAATGTAAGATATCCAAGATCGTATTGACGAAGTTCTTTGCCAATGTAAAATCGAATACCCGAACTATCATGGCGATCTGTGGACAAGAAAATGAAGAAAAAGAGGTCGCTATACTCGACAGACAGATAATCTATTTACGCGAGACTAATTTTGGATTATCATAGTGCATTTGAATAAGATAATATTGGATGGGAAAATCTCCACCAACGGGATAGCCAGCCACCGAAGGAAATTCTACAATCTATTCAAAATCATTTTCTCCTTAGTTTCATTCTTATTCATCACATCTTACATCATCACCACCGACAGCTCATCCAGTAGCAATGTTTGCCGTACACATTTGAAGTTGAGAATAGATTTCATCACATGGTCCATCTGGTAGATTAGTATCGTTAAATTTGGCTGCAGGATCACATTCGTACATAAGCAGATGATGAACAAGATCTCGGTTGGCTGGATCAATCAATGCCTGGTGCTGGAAAGATGACATGATATGTGTGAAAGAAAATTAAAATAGACGTACTGCGATTGCATGACGCTTAGTCGGAAATTGGGTTGGAGCCTTGTATACCTTGCAATAATAGGTTGTGTCGCTCGATGGAACCGTGTACTAAAATACGATTGTGTTAATAAACACAATGATTTAGTAGAAAAACTCACCTTGTTCAAGCGGAATTCAAAATAGTCCAGTCCGGCAAACTTGTCTTCCGAAGGTGAATTGCCGTGGGATCGAAGTGGAATCATTCGTGTACCTCGTCGATTCTCATGATACGAAATGTCTCCATCTGATCGGCACATATCAGGATCGGCAAGACCATAGGCAAAGATGAGAATATTCGTTCCGGACTAGAATAATGAAATGTTTTTTTTTGTCCAATGTTGAACAAAAGTAACGATAAAAGTGAAAGTTTGCGAACGAATTGATTTTCGAAAAGCTCGATCGAAGAATCTTCACTTTTGTGAATTTGGTTGATATTTCTCGGTGGATTTCTACTATATCATAAAACGTTTCTAGTTCCTTTCACTGAACACGCAGATTATTTTTATATAAACATTCGGTATTCTTGCGAGATATCGCAATGATCTTATGTCATGACTCGAAACCTTAAGATCAAGATTTAGTTAAAAATCGAACTCACTATCGTTGGAAATCAGAAAATGTTATCGTCATAAACTGATTACTTCAATCCATTTTTTTATGCCTCACTATTCAACACTCAAGAGATTGTCTTATTATCGTTGTTATTCTGAAAACATTCATTTTTTTTTGAATATTTTTAAATACGATAACCAATTGAAATAAAGTCATTTAATCAAGTCATTCAAAGGTGAATGAATGACTCTTTCTGGGACGAGTGATATCTCGAAAGAAATCTCACTTAGAATGCTATCTATCTTTTCAATCCACCGAGATTTTGTTGCTGCTATTTGTTCAGAAATATTGGTAGACAATAACATACTTTGATCGGAACATCCATTGAATCACAGGTATCAATCAATCGTTTGAATTGAATAGCTGTCCATCCATTTTGTTCACGACCTTGAAGAGCATACCAATCGGTCGTTGTATTGTCGATGATAGGTTTTACATAATCGAACGCATATCGATCCTAAAGCAACATGTAAAATAAAGCAATGAGAACCGACGCATTGCGTACTTGAAAATGCACTTTGCCCATGTTGTCTACCCATCCGACACCGATATCAGCACCTTTCATCCCACCAGCTAGATGTCAAATAGTTAGAAGAATGATGGTCAATCCGTGCATAAACCTACCTGGACTGATGCCTAAAGCAATCCATCCTGTAGTTTTGATATGTAATTCGAACATAACTTCTCGTTCAACAACATCCACTGTCCACCAGAGATCGGCTACATTTGCTTGAAGTTCAGTCGAATGTCTATATGTAGTGAATGGTTGAAGGGGACTCGAGATTGCACTACATTTCTCAATCATCAGTAGTGATAGGAACACTTGAAAGGTAACTGATAGCCACATCGCCTGGACCAATTTGAAAAAAAATAATTTTCAGCAACGACATTTCACACTCTTTATATATAACTTCATTATTTGACAAAGGTTATATGATATGATCTGATCTGTTCGGTCAACCCAAGTGCATCTAATGTGCAAGATACACATCTTTTTAATACATGATCGTCGTCAAAGCAAAGGTATGCATGTGTAGTTGATAGAACTTTATGAGTAATGTGAGGCGTGTTGATATTTGCATTGATATATTATCTAATATGTGAGCCACATTGGACGTAGATTGTTTTCATTATTTTGTCCTTTGCCATACGATCCGATTAAGCCAGTATCAAGACAAATATTCACAGAAAGAAAAACTTTGCCCGTTCGAAGAACAACAAAATCTGTCTCGAATCAATTTTAATAGCATGATTGAATCAGATATTTTAATGGTTAAAATCTGCATATATTTTGATTTATGCATGCCCTTTCTGATATGGAACACGGAAAAAAGTTTAACATTATTTCGATCCATACTTGATAAATCCGTGGAACACAAACCTTCATCGTCGTAAATATCTTTCTACAGAAAACGCCTTATCCCTTAGTCATGATACACGAAGGATCGATTACGCTTGCATATACTGAGATGAAAAAAGGTATCATATGTCGTTATTTATCGAAATTTTATCGTTTGACATCGGACTTTTACGAAAACAGCCGACATCTAGAATAATACATACCGTTTTGTTTTCACACTGCCTGCCGGAAGAATTTTCGAATTCCTACAGGGGCTCACTGCTGTTTACAGTGGTGGGAAGGCGACCATGGGTTGCCGGTAGCCAATCGTTGGATTTTCGTGCTAGCAACTCGCTAATCAGACATTAAACACATTTCCTAATGAAAAGAAATAGAATTCGTGCGCGAACCCACAAAAGCATGTATATTTCGATGGATGGAACGTGAGAGCAGGTGTAAAACAATCGAACAAAAGATTTCATTATTAAACAGCTAAAGAAATATAAGATACAAATAACTGCTCTTAGTGAAACTTGTATGCATGATTGCGGTGTGAAACAAATCAATGATTGCACTATGATATACTCTGGTTTACCATCTGAAAACAAACTCAGAAACGCCTGTTGAGTTGCTATTTGTTTTGACCAGAATCAAGGGGGAAACAGCGGAGACTTCACGACTGAAGTCTCATGAAGTCTTGAAAGTCTTTCGAAGTCTTTTGAACTCTCTTGAAGTCTTATGAATTCTCATAGTCTCTTGAAGTCTCTAAAGTCTCATAAAGTCTGATAAAGTCTGATGAAGTCTGATGAAGTCTCTTGAAGTCTGATGAAGTCTCTTGAAGTCTTTTGAAGTCTCTTGAAGTCTCTTGAAGTCTCTTGAAATCTCTTGAAATCTTCTGGAAGCTTTGAAATACATTTCGTGCATGAAAATTCACAAGAAACCAATGAAATTGTCTTGTTTTCGACGGTCTTATTTTAGTAGAAAGGTGAACTTTTTATTGTTTTTTTTAATGCACTGGAAAAAATTCAAGTTTGTTTGATCTTAGAAAACATGATAATTAATAAGTGAATGCTTTTTGAATGAAGTGGTTTATTTTTATAAGAAATTTTCCATCTATCCAAATCAATCTGATGAAGATTTTCAATCCTTTTTGTTTGTTTCTATCACTCGTGATAATCTATCAGCCGATAAACGGCTAACTTTGTCGGTCAATAACCAACAAGCCGTTTGCTTGTGTATAAATTTAGTCTTGTTATTTATTTGCACTTGAAAATAGGAGTTTTTCATTCCTGGATTAATCGAATCGAATATACGTATACCAGTAAAATTTATTTTCTCAGTTTTAATTTCATCAAAGTTTTGTGTCATTGCCGCATCTTTATCTTCTTCATCCACATTGATTAGATCACTATCAAATTCATTACTTTCCATTGCTTCATCATCATAATCAGATTCAGAATCTGATGAAGAACCTGAATCCGTTGCTAAATAATTATCCGAATTAATGTTGAATCTAATACTATCAGATATATTTTTACTTAAACCATTACGTTCACAAGCATTACATTCCTTTAATGAAGGTAATATATTCAAATTACTAACTAGTTCTTTTGCACGGTTAAATGCAGCTAAAATAATATTCTCAACGTTGATTTTATCAATATCATTCTGTTCCTAGTGCTCGGAAGACGCTAGTTACTCCGTTATGAATGAGTATCAGTTTATATTAACTTTTCATTTAATTTACGCGTAAATTAAATGATAAGTAATTTGTATTTATTATAAAGTACATGGTAAATGACACCCTTACTTAATGATAAGCTTTTTTGCATGTTATAGAGGTTTCATTTAATTTCTATAAGCTGTTTTGATACGCATGGAATCTGTCTCTTGAAGTCTTGTGAAGTCTTTTGAAATCTTACGAAGTCCGATGAAGTTTTGTGAAGTCTGTAGAAGTCTGTAGAAGTTTTATGAAGTCTTATGAAGTCTAATGAAGTCTTATGAATTCTCATAAAGTCTTTTGAAGTCTCATGAAGTCCGTGAAGTCTCAAGAAGTCTGTGAAGTCTCATGAAGTCTTTCAAAATCCAATGAAGTCTTTAGAAGTCTTTTGGAGTCTTCAGAAGTCTTTTGAAGTCTTTTGAAGTCTTGTGAAAATATGAAGTCACTGCGACTGAAGTCCGTTGAAGTCTTTTGAAGTCTTGAAGTCTTGAAGTCCGCTGTTTCCCCCTTGACCAGAATGCAACTAAAATGTGTAAGGACTAGAGTGTGGAGTGTGGGCGTGAGTGTGGGGTGTGGGTGTGAGTGTGGGTGTGTGCAGGCGTGGGCATGAGTGTGGGGTGTGGACGCGTGTGGGCGCGAGCGTGGGTGTGATCTTTAATAAAGTCCACAGCCACAGCCACAGCCACAGGCACACCCACACCCACATCCGCCTACATCCACAGCACACCCACCTCCCCACCCCTAAACCCTACACCCACACTCACACCCACACCCACACCCACACCACCACCCACACACCCACACCCACACCCACACCCACACCCACACCCACACCCCACCACACACCCACACCCCTCACCCACACCCACACCCATACCCATACCCACCCACACCCACACCCAC